CCATCACCTGCATACGGGATTTATATCTCTCAGTTGATTAGAGAGCATGTTCTACGTATGAGCAATTTCTAAAACGAGGAAAATTGTTGACAAACGAGTTGCTGAAACAAGAATATTAGCACTTTAACGTCATCGTTTCGTAAGTTCTATGGTTGATACAATGACCTTGTGAGCAAATACAATTTATCATTGAGTCAAACGCTGAATGACGTTTTTCATACTAATTGTTAGGCCATCATGTACAAACTGAATTGTCGATGGATTTTTCCGTTATTTCCCAATCATGACAAGTAATACAACGCGGGTATGGCCAGTCAGCATTGGATGCTCACTCCTCGATAGCACCTGATCGCACATCTGATGTTTTTAAGTTTCGCGTTTTCTCTGCACCTATTTTGTATCGTTAAATGGACTTTTGAGCTTGAATACTGTTAGTTATCCCCATATATATTTCATAGTTAATACTTTTGAAAAATTTATGTTAAAGTTACTAAAAGTTCTGTGGAGTATTTGAGTATATGATTTACACCACTTCCAGAATAGACCGTAAAACAGTAACGTCTGAATTTTCACCTTTACAGCAGTAAACATTTTTGTAAGGAGTTAACAAAAGGATTTGTTAGATTATTTGTTTGATCCAGCGATATACGAGGGGGTATCAAAAAGTTCGTGGACTAGCGCCATAAAATTAAAACCGCTTTAGGTACATGAATGAATTTTAAAATATCAAGTTAGCATCAATTATTCTATCTATAGAATAAACCACAATTCATAAATTTTATTTTTTAATAAATTAGTAATGTTTTTGTAAGCAGTGGTATGTCCAGGTGGCGCAGCCTCGAAAACGACGTTTTTCCGACCTAAGAGTAACTGAGAAAAACTATTTTGATTAAAACATTTAAAATCCAAATATCACGTTATTTCAGGTATGTGTTGGGACTTTATTGTTCCATAAAATATCAAATTTTTATCTCATTCTGAAAGTTCCATGAAATTTTATCGTAAATTCTACATGGAGTAGCCAAACATATAATTTATTGCCTTGAAAATGACGTCAAAAGGGGGAAGGGGTTTCCTTTTCCAACATTCTATAAAGTTTTGCCCCTGAAAAAAATGATATAGACCTAGGAAATGTTTAAACTGGTTACAGAGAAATAATATTCATGCAGAGTACTTGTTTTTTAATGCCAAAATAGATTCAGAAAGAAGAGGAAAGCACAGTTAATGTCGATTTCTAGTCAAGGTGTGAAAAATTAATCATGTCAAAAAATGACGTTAATCATGTGTTGTAGTTACTGAAGTCCAAAAAGCAAAATATGCCGACACGATCAAGCGAGGATCTCTCCCATTGTATAAATCCATTTGCAATATTATATGCATTGAAAACCGCTGTTCATGACATTGTAAAATCATATAAACAAGAATAATTGAAGTCCTTACTCAGCTCAAGGGAATCTCACCAAAATAAGTGTATGAGGTAGGAGAACCAGACATTGAACAACAATGACGTTGTCGGACGTCAGAAAACTAAACGGCCACGGCGCCGGGTGATGCTATAATTCGTTTTTATTTTTAATAACTTGGGAAATAATGAACGCTAAAATTTTCAACATTTCTTTATTTTTTGTTGCTTTATATTCCTTAAAAATTTTGTAAGCTCAGACTACATAATACTATTTTTATAGCCTCAGTCCACGAACTTTTTGATAACCCCTCGTATCTTTGTTTTTTAAAGATTTTTTTACGAAGTTTAGGAATCCTGAACAGGTAAAGAAGATGGAAATCACCTTGGTTGACTGGTACATTTACCGGTATATTACAAGTATCTGAAATGTGATTTTGAAGAAATTTTCCTTTGGAAAGTGAACTGTAAGTATATGATGGATTTCAAGACGTAGAATTCAAAATACAGTCATAATAATAAGCCTTACATACAAAGACGATATTGTTACAATGCTTATCTGCTGAAATCATGATAAATTATTTATGTATAGTGTCTCTAACTTTTTCATTACTTCCAGTTTATTGAAAACGGAAAGAAAGATGATTTGTATTTTGCTTTTTTATTTTCTAATACGAATCTTTGATTAAACATATATTTACTTTATTTCATGAAGCTGTTCACATAAGTTTTTTTCTGTTTCTGGTTGAGTAGTTATTGCAGATATTCAAAACGTTTCCATTATATTTCAATGGTGACCTAAGGCTATATATGACCTGAACATGCAGTTTCAAACATACATTTCCTTGGAAAGCCAACATAATATTACAACCTTTTTTCAGGCGTAGCGTTTCTTTATGGCTCTGTTTTTATTCTAATGCATTTCACTTATGCAGCAATATACCTTCATCACCTGCATAAGGAGTTTATATCTCTCAGTTGGTTCGATACACAAGAGCATGCTCTACGTATGTACAATTTCTTAAACGAGGTTAATTATTGAGAAACAAGTTGCCGAAACAGCAGCCTCGTTTAAAGTCATCTATTCGTAAGTTCCATGGTTGATGTGATGACTTTGTCAGCAAATACAATTTATCATTGAGTCAAATGCTGACTTATGTTTTTCATACTAATTGTGTAAGGCCATTTTTACACACTGAATTGTTGACAGATTTTCCCGTTATTTCCCGATCATGACAAGGAGCAAATGACGGGTATGACCGGTCGGCAGGGGATGCTCCCTTTCGATGGCACCTGACCCCACCTCCAAAGTTTTTAAGTTCCGTGTTTGCTTTGCTCCTATTTTGTATTGTGAATTTCATGATCCCTTCCCCCACTCTAGATTGGTGGGTGGTGGGTGGTGGAGAGACCGAGGGGTTGGGCTAAAATCATAAAAAATAATGCAATCTTGAAAAATTTTCTCCTTTACTCCTTTACTCCTGAACATTAAACAGTCAAGCTGTTGGCATAATTGTAATACTATGAAATCAATTATTTTCTTGGGGGTTTAATTTTGTTTTTGAGGCATAGAGAAGTCCAGGAATTTATGACCACCACGAAAATTAAAACTTTCATATTTATTTTTATCAAACTTTTTATCAAACTTTCTCCAGCCTCGAAATCAAGTCCCCACAAACAAAATTAATATAATTCCTCAAACCTCGAAAAAACTAGACCCCAAGAAAATAATTTATGTGATAGATGTGTAACATAGTTATGTTGAGCGAGAGTGCCTCTTCCAAATAGTGAATTAATGGCCCCTATGTCAGGGATTTGGTATTAGGGGAGGGTTCTAATGAGATTATATATTGAAAATGCATCCATTGAAAACCTTCCTTGCTCTTGGGTATTTGAAAATAGATTGAATGAAGTTCATAGTTATGTTGACCAAGAGTGCCTGTTCCAAATTTGTGAATTTCATGGCTGAAGTTCAGGGGTTCTAGTGTTAGGGAAGGGCTCTGATGATTATATGGTGAAAATGAATTAATTCATTGAAAAGTTTTTCCTCTGCTCTTGAAATCTGATGAATTTTAAAAGAATTCAAAGTAAGCATGCTAAATGTATAGTTATGATAAGCAATGGTGTACCTTTCAAAATTGTGAATGACATGGCCTCTGGTTTAAGGGTGCCGACTATGGTTTTCACTGCGCAATATTTTGCGTATCATAGTAAAACGAAGCGTATGTACTGTTTTAAAGCAACTTTTTTCACTTGATTAATGAAATTAAACAAACTTAAGAAATAACAGGTTTAAAATGTAATTACAATTTTATACAACTGATTTTTTAATCGATTTTGCAATTGATAAGTAGGTTGACGTCGTTATAGTGTGTTTTTGACGTTATGATAAACTGAAGCTCTTAAGAAATGGGTAATAAAAATGTTATTAAAGAAAAAGTTATAAGCATGCGCTCTTGAAATTTAAAACAGAGAAATCTAAGAATATCTCCAATATTTTTATCATGTTTTCATATAACTCTTGTGCCCGTTATATTTTGTAGTACTCTATAAAAACAGGAAAATTCGTTAAATTTTTATATTTTGAGATGCCCCCTCTGGTAACAAGACGGTAGAATTTTGTGTTTCTTACATATAATGTACAATATAGTACTACTCATCATATATTATAGTTTTAACAAAAATTCTATTGTAGTATTTATGTATAATATGCTTTAAAGTGCTAAAAAGTGGCACTTTCCTGTATAATCCTATAATAATTGTACCTGTATTTTGAGACGGTTAATTTTTCCAAAACTTGGCATGTACGCTGAAGTTAATGTAAGTTATACCGGTATATGGTATAAAAATGAAGAGTTTTGCTATTATAGTTTTCACACAATAAAACCCCAGTCGGCCCCCTTAAAACACAAACCAAATTCAATTGTTGGAAAGTTGTTGCATGATACTCAGATGACCTATAAGGCCTGTTGTCATTTCTTTATGTAAAATTCGAAAAAACAAATTTAAAAAAAAATCATTGGAAAGAATAAAAAAATTAAGCAGTTTGTCCATTCAAATAATAAAAATTGAACGTCGGAAGATAATATTTTTCTAAATACACGCATATTGGCTGTTTTGTAAGCTTATATTTAGAGTATTTCCCCTAATTTTTGTATTATGAATAAGACGCTTTTGTCGAAAACGAAGAATGATTAAAAGCGGGTTAAGACGAACAAGGTTTATCAGTTGAATAAGGTTGTACTATGACATAAATAGCAATAAAGTATTAAGATTTATGCACAACTGACTTAATTCATCGTTTGTTTTTCTGACGAATCATTTTATTTGTCCCTCTTCAGACATGACATCTAATGAGGAACAAATTTAGAAACTAGCGATTTTTGTTCTGGCGCTAAGTATAATTAGGACTAATTAGAATTTACGACACTGTGTGACTTTGCCAAATGGCGTTTGTCTTCTCCTTTGTCACCGTTTGTATCTGTGCTAATACAATAGTACTTTTAAAATGTAATACAACTGAGTCCACATCTTAATGAGGTTCCAGGACATAGAAAACAAAAGAAGCTATATGTATATTTTTCTTAAATTTATTGTCGACTAATTCATTGAATAAATTATTAAGTATGAGTACTTGCACAAAGTTCGAATTTTCTTATGTCAATATTGAAGCACAATGTTCAGATTTTCTTACGTCTGTATTGTAGAACAATGTTAGGATTTTCTTACGTTTGTATTGTAGTACAACTCCATGAATCACAACATAACTGTGGCACAATGGAAACACAAAGCAGACACAAAATAACAGAAAGTGTTTCATCTTATAATAAATGTCGTATACAGTTTTTGAAAACCATGTCGCCGTTTATGTTTTTCACAAATAATTTTAAAGATTAAAACCCGTTTTATTTCTTGTGCGCTATATCGCATTATCTACTTTAACAATAGATGCGCAGACGCGGGAACTGGCGGGTGGTGTATGTCGTTGCCACGAAGATGCCCCAAACCGTCATCGCCAATATCATCAATGTCACTTATGTCACTGTCATCTTTATTGTCATCGTCGCTGTCCATGTCTCTAGAAGAGCTTTTGCCAGGACTGTTTGGTTCTTCTCCATCTTCCGTTTTTATCCGCTTATGTTTTGTTCGTCTGTTTTGAAACCATACTTTCACCTACAAAAATAATCACATGCTCAATTAAGTTTTGAATTTTGTGATGTATAGCATTTTTAAAATGAACATATTAATAAATATCTTTTCATTTCTGTATTCTTACGATTTTCTTATCAAATATTGTTACTTTTAAAGAGGGATTCAGCGGAAACGGCAAAACTTCAATAACCGGTAGAGATCACAGCAATTTGATTACACATGGGTAACGCACAATCATTATCACTCCTTACACTTAATTCGTCCTTCAGCTAGAAAGGAATCAGAAGAACTCCCATAGGACAACTCTTGTCAGTAAAGCGCAGAATTCAGACAACTTATTCCTCATGTTGGTCTTTAATTAGGTGTGATATTTGCTGTGAAAGGGTTATCAAAGCCGCGTTGTCCATTGGGGAGGATAAGACAACCCCCTTTGGACGGTCTCTATAACTATCGTTAGCGTAGCGTTGGAGTACCTTATCAGAAAATGTCTATATCAACTAAGCGTGCACAACTCTAATTATCTTCTTATTTTCAGTTTCAACCTTTCCGATTTCAGCAATTTTTGTAATGAAAAGATACTCTCAAATAAATGGCGGGAATTCTTGTTAATTAGATTTTGATAGCTAAAGTAATCCTTTTGATAGCGGGAACAAAGTAGGGTTCTTTATCTTGCAGTGGCTGGCCGCAAGTGCACAGCCGACGGTAATTCAATCTCCCGTTTGGCCCATCAAATAGATAATCAATCGCAATAGTTTCACTCGAAACATGGGGGATTAACAGAGGAATTGTCCCATTAAAACCATCGGCATATATTGTAATATTGTACAAAAACTGACAACGGCTTAGAATTCAATTCATTCGAAACTAAATTAAATATGGTGATTGCAGTAATTTAGTCTATTAAATACTTCTGATAGGTTTTTAACTCGGTGGCAATTTATCTGTTTCTATTTATTAGATGGGGGATAATCTTTCAGCAGGGAATGGCTAAATAACAGATAGAAAGCATTAATGCAAAGAGCAATGTTACAATTTCTATATATATTTCCGAGTTAATTTCCCTTAAAACGTGGGGTCGTGCTATTAACGCTAAGCCCAGACGGACGGCACTGTAATGCAACCATTGAAAGAAGACCAAAGGGGAAGAAATATATAATTCTCCGACTGTTAATTGAAGTACAAAGTATATTATATTAAAGGCAATAAAATTCAGATTAACTTTAAAGCATTATCAGTCGCGCGAATATTTCAAAGTAATTACACTTGTTTTTGCTCATTCTGCAGTCGGATATCGGGGACGTTATTTCATAAAACCAGAGTTTGGAGAGAGGGTAACGAGATCTTCATTGAGCTATATTGTCACCAATTGCCAACTTTCCTCGCCCTAATTCAATCAAGGCTTTTATTTGTCGTGGAAATGAATTTCATCTCCTCTCATCTTACTGTCAATATCATGAATTTTGTACCAGTGCATGTCTAGATCACAATATATATTGAGGTTCTAGTTTCAAAAGCAATAGAACTCAGTTGCAAAGTAAATGTCATAGTCCCCAAAGTGTTCTATTATTGTATTCATCAATTGTTTAAGAAGTATATCTGCTATTTGGTCAGACAAATCTCATATTTATGCCATATTAATAGATATGTCAGATAAATAAAAATTTACCATAACAAAACACATTCGTATATTTTTATCCACAGAATATACATGTATATAGGATACCCTAAATAAATTTTGTGGCTTAAGGACAGACGAGACGTTCCTAAATAATATATAATTTTTTCTACGATTTTGTCATTGAAGTAATGCTACTTTTACAAGTTAACTCACAAAACTTGAGGTACCTTACCAGGCATTTGTGCAAGATACCAGAAGATGGTGTTGCCTATGTAATCCTTTTGGAAAAAACTTAAATTGCCAAAATCAAAAACATTAGTGTTGTTATTTTTTAAAGACAACTAGAAACCAGTTTAGAAATCAAAAGGTAATTAAAATTGTAAATGTCTTTTCATATATTACGAAGATTTACAAAACAGATTTCTGAGGAAGGTGTCGTCTGACCTTAATAAAATGATGAAGTAATTTTACAGTATTTTGTTGTACATCAGAATTATGTATACATTAATTACTTATTTGTGCTTTTTCTTGTAGTTTGTAGTTCCTTGCTATCACTATACATGTAAGTACACTACCTGTGTCTCTGTGAGTTGCAGCTCTGCAGCCAAATCTTTTCTTTCTTGTCCAACGACATAATGGCTTTTTTCGAACGCCTTCTCTAGTTGAAGAAGCTGTGAAGGGGAAAATGCTGTACGTATTCGCTTAGGCTTTCTATAAGGCTGGAAAAGAAACCCTGGAGCCGCTGCAATGAAAATGGAATCCTAGTATCAATATACTGTGGATAAAATAGCTTTCTGAAAGATTTAATTCCATTTAAAATCTACGGTCTACACTTTGCGTTGGCATGCGCAGCATAAGTCGGTGAAATATGCATGAAGGTCATTTTGATCATGTACTTTCTTTGACACCAATGAATTTTGCATAATCCCATTCATAATATTCAATGAAAACTAACCAGCTGCAATTTGCAACAAATTATAGTTTTGCATTTTAGCTTCTTAATTTATGAGAACATACTTTATCAAAGGTCTAATAAAAGACAGAAAGGTCCTGGATGATTATTACTCGTATAAAACAGCTGTGTTTATCAAGGAGATTTAATATTAAACAAAAACAAGTCATGGGAAATTATTTAGCCTCGCTGTCATTCTAGGAGGATGACCTTCTCGTTAGAGGTCAAAGTGCAAGGCAACGCTCGTCTTTATGTTGAAAAATCCACGACTGCGATTAAAATTAATTTACGTTAAATGATAATTATCATAAAATGGTACAAACATGTAAATATCGCAATTAATTGTGCCTTTATAAATTAGTCTTCATGAGTTACTGTGTTTTAAGTTATCCTTGGACCACGTCTTTTCGAGGAGTCAGCTTTGCAGTATTTTTTAAACACAAAAGCTGTTATATTTTATAGTTGTCATAGAATTATTAATGAGCTTTCGTGTTTATGAATGGTCCTACGACACATTTCGGCAACTAATGCGCGCAAAAACAGAAAATAGATTGGTTTTTAGTGTCAAGCTGGAAAATTAAGAGTTGCGCGGCGTTTTCATCTCGTTTCATTTTAATTCTATTCAAGACGTAAATAACAAGACTTGTTTTCTGCTCTCATACACTTCTCTATGATGCTTATTAATTAAGATATATTTTTGTCTTTTCCTAATTACCATACATCGTATTTCATTCCATTTTGTTGTCCATATAAACAAACAACGATCTATGATATATATGTATAAATGAAATTTACATGAAACAGCATTAACTGAAATATCAAACAGATAAATTATACCCAAAGAATAATTTTCCATAGAAGCAAAAGTTTCGTTTTCTTCTACACTCTTCAGAGCTAATATTTGAAATTTTTTCAGTGCAATGAATCTTTCAAGATGCTTTTTTCATTCGGTATGATACATATACTAAAATCAGCAATTATATTCCGTGTATATTTTTGAATATGATTAAATCAATTGAAGAAAAAAAGTCTAAAGTGAAATAAAAGCATTGGAGATGAATTTTGTTAACTTAACGTTATTTTCTACTCGATCTATAGTACTAAATCATTGATTTTGATAACTAATCTATAATCATTATAAAAACTTTATAAGAGTTAGTGCTTTAATTTTTCTGTGAAATTAATTTTTTGGGGGTTCATTTTAAATATGAAAGAGGGTATAATTATTTCAAATAAACAGTATTGAAGTGTATTTCTATCAAGGATATCATTTTTTTTGTCTATTATATTCATTTTTTGACATTTAGAAAATATTTTTAAAGAGGTAGAAAAGGCAAGTTTTACTGTTATTTTCTTAAATTTGTGGCCATTATTCATTCCATTAAATTAAATTAAAGAGTATCTTTCAAATTGAAACCAAAGTTCTTCATAATGTCTATGCTTTTATATATTTACATTTTTATAATCCAAAAATACTATGGTAAAAAAAAAATAACTGTGAATAACAGAAAACCTTTCGAGGGAGATTTTGGAAAAGAATTTGTTTTCTGGTAAATGTTAATAATAAAAAAAAAAATCTTCATCGTTTTGTGAAACAATAAAAATGAAAATTGTTCTTTTAATAAATTTAAACATAGTATTAAATATTAAAATGTACACTGATTTGTAAACATAAATACGACTTTGTTACTTCTTTTTTTTCAGAATATAATCTTTCCGTGTAGAATATCGAGAGAGAAAAAAAACCCCGTTTCTTTAAAGTAACACTCGTGCACGAGAATTAAATGTCATTTTCTCATGAAGAAAGGGCATTTAAAAGAAAGCATGTTTATTCATTATCCCCATATTATAATTTTCAACTGATGTGGGAGAATTAGAAAATTGAGCGATTGGCAAACGATAAACATCTACATTGTAATTATAAAACACGATTGTTAATTCAGTAAAGATAGAAATTTAAAAACTGTTTTTCTGTTATGATAGGAAATCGATACAGCTGACTATATATTTAAACCAAGAGAAATTTAATGGTATGCTTTAAACAAGATATCATGGAAAGAAGCAGAAATATACAAACTTGTTTGATAAATTCAGGGGAAATTGAATTGTCCCCAACTAACGATAAATATGTAGAGTAAATAAAGGAAGTTTATTAGAATTTAGGAAATATTAACAATATTCTTCAATTTAATTGTGAAACTTATTTTAATAGCATTCATTTCGAAAACTATGATAACAATTAAAATATTGTACATGATATTTTGTACGTTTAAATATAAACAAACCCATGTTTGTTTAAACTGGATGTAATTGATCTTAGAGATATGATCATATTCAATTTATGTACATCTGTATAATTTGTTGACTTGAAAGAGGTAACAATATTCATTTCGACTGCTTTACCCTTAAATTAATAAATAAATAAAGATAAGAAAATTAAAACTCAGAATAACATATCTATAATCTTAAAAAAAGAGGCAAAAATATAAATTATCGTCATCCATAGACTATGAACCACGTGTACCTGTTAAATATGTTTACCTGGGTATCTGGGATAGTAATATCCGGAATAACGTTCTGATATCCAGGGGTGCAGATGTCGGACATCTCTGGAGGTGGAGGGGTTCAACATCAGGGGGTGAAGGGGGGTAGAAGCTGATAGCTGACCAGGGTACATAGAATGTAAATTAAAAGGTGACATGGGGTGACGACACATTCGGGGGGAAAAATAGGTTCCCGTGGCCCCCGCAGTTTGAGATAAAACGTCATGTAAATGTTTTAAGGATTCAGATGCACTATGGGGGTTTGATGCAAAGTACAAGTCCCTTTCCCTCCGTGCTGTTGCAAAATCTGGAAAATGTCTCATTGAATCAGGTACAACAGGTTCCCTACGCGATCGCTCCGGGTTTTCCGGTCGGTCCTGTGCGCGTGGTCTCGGACTGTCACTTTTATTGGTCTCTGAATTTAAATGCACATACTCTTCATAATTTCTACCACTCGAAGAACTCTCCGTTTTATCCGAGTCTTTTCCTATTAAAGAATCAATAGTGAAACCAGATGATTTTCTCAAACTGTGTTCCACCATTTTTGTTGCCACCATCGGTCTCTTGGAAAAATGTTCAATCTCCTCATCAACTTGTATTTATCCCGATTTATCTTAATGTATGCGACAAAACATTGGAAAAGTTCGAGCTGAAATCTATTTAGACACTTATCCGATTCCCTTCAGTGACAAAGTGCAGTCACACTATTATCTCTAACGAATGGTAGGCTGTCCTTCCAATGCGTAGCCCCGCCTTCCTCCTGTAGGATCAAATGAAAAATGTGAGGAGGGCGTTTCTATAACCCAAAATTACCTTCTTTTAACATGCAACATTTCTGGTATATTTTTGAAGAATTTTAAGCTGCTCACCGCGCGCATGGATTTTTTTCTGATTCAATTTTTATATAAACTTACGAATCGATGAAAATCGAATTATTTCTTTCGCACTTTTAGGTTGTTTTATGTCTAAATACAAAACTGCATTAAGACTTGTAATAAGATATGATTTAGATGAGGACATTAAAACAAGATCATATAGACTGTTTCCGCTCTCACTCTAAAGAAAAAAAAATGCCAACTCAAAAACTTTCTAGACAAGCAAATGTAAATAAATAAAAAAAAAATGCCCAAAAAAATCCCTTCTCAACCCACAACACGCTGAATCCACTAATGATTGATTTATTCGTTTACAAAAGTATTTAACAATGTCAAAAAATTTACCGTTAGCTCTTTTTCATGTTTAATATTTTCTATCGAAATTACATCGTGTCCCATACATGTAGGAATCCTACATCCATTAATAACAGTCCGAAGACTGAAATTTTATTATTGATGGTATATAAATAGTGTTAATTTTTTTAGTAAAAATTCGAATATGAAAAAACGAGGAATTAGAGAAAATTAAAAAAAAAACTGAAAAATATTGAATATGGTTAATCTACTGCGAGTGCAATTTATATATATATTTCTTTTCAAGTTTTAGTATCACCCGATACTTAAAACATTACAAATATGTGAAACACCAATTCAGTCTGAAAAAAGAGAGAAAAAAAGAGGGAGAAAAAGTTAAATAAAAAATAGATGGCACGTGCGTTATTAATTCCAATTATCTCTCTATTCTTAGATCTATTTATATACTCTTAGAAAATAGGACATGACCGGTAAAATACGCATATGGCAAAACACTGTATACTCTCTCTCCCTCTCTCTCTTTCTCTCTCTCGTAATAAATAGATAGAGAGAGATGCTATTTTGTGCGAATCAATTTAGTATTATCTAGCTATTAACTGATAGTGAAAATGACCACGCTTCAAAGAAATAGCTACACATAAAGAAAATGTGAAAATGGATCCAATTTCCCTTTTTAATATTTTCACCGCTGGTGTTGGATTTAAATGTTTAGTCACTGATTCAGGTTATTCTCTCACAATACAAATTTCCACAAGTACAAATCCATAACTAACACGATAATAGACCGACGCACAAAATATGCATTTTTCTTAATTTACAATTTATCTGAATAAAACAACATGTCCTTGAAATCGTCATTGTTTTAACCTGTTGGCCTTCTGAAGATGAAACAATTCATTTCAATGATCCTTTTTTTCAGTAATTTACGATGAAAATAAATCGGAAAACATCGAGAGCAATATTAATGGGTTTCGAGATTTCATACGGCGTTCAGATTGCTAAAAATATGGTGGTTTTATTTTACCTTTACAGTCCTCAATCCTTGAATTTTTTTCCCCATCACACCAGGAAATTTTGTTTTGAAGATTTCCTCCCAATCGATATACTGTTATAACTAACATTTACACCAAGGATGAAGAAAAATGTCATAGGTAACAATTAAATATTTTTTATTAAAGTCAAAGAAATAAGATCAGAATTGTACATTTTAACTGAGCACATGTTCAGGGAACCGCTCATCTTGACAAGCAAGAGACATAACAATGACGATGTTAACACTTGTACTACATGTATGTCTGACTTTTTTTTTCATGAAAACACCTCTAAGTTGCATTTATGCCTATGTGGACTAATATTTTAATGTAATTTATATATTTCTTTATATTATTTAATTAACTACATTTAAAAGAAATAAAACCAACACAAAAAATATGAATATTACACAAATGTTATTTCCATTCCGAATTACATCTCGAAAGCTTCCCAAGAAGATTTTCTCTCTCTCTCTCTCTCTCTCTCTCTCTCTCTCTCTCTCTCTCTCTCTCTCTCTCTCTCTCTCTCTCTCTCTCTCTATATATATATATATATATACTCGTATTCAAAAAATTATTTTTCCTTGGTGTAGGGATAAAATAAAATCCAAATTCAAATGTTAAACTCAAACTTTGAGTTTGTCATTTGAATTTGGATTTTATATACTCGTATATATACAATAAGAAGATAAGAAAGAAAAAAATGGTTGTTTTTCATAAGACAGGGTAAACATATGGTAAAGAGGAAAAAAGTGCAAGCACAAAGCTTGAAAATTTGCAAAATTATAATGACATGAATGACTTTTCATTAAATAACTTATTCAGTACTAGATAAATTACTTTAGTTAATTTCTTTTTATTTGATCATAACCGACATTGACTCTATTTGTATCTTACAGGGGCATCTTTCGACTTAGTATACAACCTTTGCTTCTACCCTATTACATCGGACTTGCTTCTATATAAATTAATCTCAGCTTTGTTAACATGAATTTACTTTGAGTTCATACATAGTTATATTAAAATATAGGGATATATGTAGGATTCATAAAATTAATTTGGAATATTAAGGACATATTTCTTTGAGTACATTGACGTAAGAACCCTTTTTTTTGCAATGCTGCACGTTTTTCCAGACACGTGTCTTGAAAGGTGTCTTCAATAAACCATTCTTTTCTCGAAGATTTAAAGTTAAAAGACAATATATAACTGACAGAGATTTCTAAAAATAATCTATTTTAAATAATGGTCTCTATGAAATTCACATCTGCGCAGCAACATCTATTTTTTTCAGAAATCCAGAATCATCATCAAGTGAAGATATGATGAAAATAAGAAAAGTAAGTGAAAGAAAGCCGGGTAAACATAACAGGAACTGAACTTATGTCACCTACAGGCCTGTGGTTGTGGTTTTAAGGATGGATTCTAGTCATATTCTAAATACAGAGAAATTAATGAAATTTAAACAAAAATCAGAATGCCATTTTCACTTAATGATATATCGTGAATTTATCTCAGATAAGTGCATATAAAAACATCAGGAATGTATTTAATAAATTTTATTGTGGCGAATATTGGGCACGGCTGTAAATCCAGAGACACAAATTATGGTGTCTCTGGCAACACAACAAAGCAAAGATTACATAAATTAATATTAAATATTCAAACTCAGGTTCATAGTTCAAAGGTCAAAGTTCACAAACACCATCTCAGAAAGTGGTAAAAGCCTTGACCCTGGGAGGTGCAGAGGTCAAGCACTTATTTATGTATTTCTAAATCCAAAGGTTCCTTTTCAACTTTCATGAGTTACATGACTGCATATAAGGAAATATACGCACATCTCAGCTAAAAATAAAAATTCAACATTATTGTTTAATGTTTGTGGTTAAAGGTTATTAGCTCCTGCAAAAATGGTACATGATTTGCTCTTGGAATGAATCACTTTCATATAAATAGTTGTTCCTCACATGGCTTTCACATTAAATCTCTTAAAGTCCAAGTGCATATAGACAATTCCCTTAGCTGTTGCCTAAGACCCTAGTTTCATCTCATAAGTCCTGTCATGTTGAGATTGATATTCGCTCCAAGTCTTCCTCTGAAAGCATAAAAAACCCAGAAAAGCAGCGTCTATTCTAAATGAGTGAGGTGGGCGGGTGTTTCAAATCTATAATACACAATAACAAGCTGGAAAATTTTTACCGACCCAAGATAATGCTGGAATATTGAAAAAGGAAGTTGCAACCAAAGCGCCCTCAGGTGTTTTTATTAAAAGGGCAATAATCAACTCTTATATGTCTCTTTAAGTAAGGCAGTTATGCACTTCCTTCGATAAAAGCAGCTAATTCAGAGTGAATTAGCTTTGAATATAAATTTGATTTTTTCCAAAGTCAACATTTATATCCTGGTTATACTAGTAAACGCTGTAAGTAATATGATGACAATAACTAATTTAAACATTCCTTTTTCATAACAAAAGATGATACAACCAGATTATACATTCAATAGAAATATAGAATAAGTAAAAATAGAAATACCAGCTTAATTGCAATTCTATTATAATTTTAATATGTTTTACATGTTTAAGATAGAAAAGTCATATAACAAAAAGACCATTTGAAAAAAAGAGAAAGAGGAACAAACACCTGGGGCTCGTAACATAAAGCTTGCTAAGTTTTTGACTTAAGTAGGGTCATAAGTAGGACTTAGGCACATTCTTAGGACCTTCCTAAGTACTACTTAAGTCAGTCTTTATTATACCGTAACAAAAAACAGACAAAGAAAGGTCTTAGCTCGTTGCCAATTAGTTAATAATATTTTTCATACTGAATTATTTCTATGAAATCTTGAAATTTGAAATGCTTTAGATAAGAATGCGGAAAGGACAGGACTTTTTTTAAAACAGGAAGTGATGGATCACTCAGTGCAGCAACGGATGCAGGTGGGGGGGGGGGGAGGGGGTACATCCAGATTTTCGTACTTATAAAGTTTGAGTATCCGTAGTTATAATCATTACTCATCTGAAAAGATTTTTCTACTTGATATAATTGATGATCCAGCACTGAAAATATTATCGTTTTGACAAGTACATGTACGTGTTCATTGCATGCGCTAGTTTCGTCGTTGTCGCAGACATGGCACGGAAACCGAATTTCTCCCGACTTGAAATCAAAACTATTATTGAGGAAGTCCAAAACAGTAGTGATATTATAATTTCTTCTTTTTCAATCGTATCGAGGATTGCAATTAAGCAACGGCTATGGAGTGGCATTACATCAAAGTTAATGGATATTCATTTTTCATATTTTTAATATTGGGATTATAACAAAAAAAATTATGAAGTCTAGAAAAAACATTTTTCCCTTCTGTAATTCATTTTGAATATCAACATATCTTCATATACACCAGTTGGAATCAATTTAAGTTTTTTTTCTGGGGGGGGGATACAACCAAATTTTTT